ATCTACCAGAAACAGGAGTTTTAATTTTGACCATCGTCTGTACAGTTTCGGCTCCACTGGAGGAAGACGAATGATACTTATCTTTTTTATTTTTCGGTGATGTTGATTTTGGAGATAACAACGGAGTTGTTTCCTCGATATCATTGTCTCCCTGTATTTCTTCCAGTGACAAAACAATTTCTTTACGTTCTTCTTGCAAACTAGCCGATTCGGATTTCTGTATCTCGCCCTCTTCACACAGAGATGAATCGATATCGACGAAGAAGACGGATTTCGGTGGCTGGGGTCCTTCGTATTTCTCTTGTTTAGATGGTGTTTCGCGACATATCTTAGAGAAAATGTGCACGAGCGCAGAAGCAAGTAGAGATATAAACGATACTACAACGAAGGCAACCAATACTATGGAAATTGCTCGGCCTATTTTCTTCATTACGACCTTCTTTTCCTGCTTGGCAACTTTTCTGTTCACTTTAAAACCAGTTCTACTTTTTAATATTTTATTTTCGTCATTTTTCTGCCTGATTGGACCAATTAACATTCTGTTAAGACGAGATTTAAAACGATATTTCTCCGAAAACCGAGCATTGTTATTCAATTTTCCCATTTGTTCCATTCCTTCTTTTGATTCGAGTTCTTTATTTGCATATTTTCGCATAAAATACGATTCTTTGTATTTTTTGTAATTTTCCACAAAAGAAGGCATCTGAACTTCACTTCTTGAATTTTTGAAACTTTTCTGTTTAGTGATACCTTGCTTATGTCGATATTCATCAGTATCTTTATCCGTATTCATTAGTAGACTAATACTTTTTTCTTGGGTCGACGGCCTCATTAGCCAGTCCAATTCTCGAATTTTTGATTTACCTCGCAGTACAAAGGTATTGCCGTATTTTTCAAACTGAGGTGAAGACAATATATTCTTCAAATCTTCATTGTAAGCCTCGTCCTCATCAGTTCTGGAACCGAGGGACAGTAAGCTGTGTTTATTCTTGTGTTTGCTTTTCAGACGTATCTTAAAGTTTTGTCCCGTAGGAGCATTCATTAAAATGACTAATGGTATAATTACCATTAATATATGGCGTACGTTCATTGTGTATATTGACGATTGCAAGTTTAAAGCACTTCTTCCGTACGTATTGTTAGAAAACGTTAAATTAACAATGTTCGTATTATTGAAATCGCAAGAATAAAATCATTTATATATGTCTATTGTTAGTTCTTTTATACAATTCATATATGTGGATTTAAGCGTATTTGAAGTCTCTGGTGGTTTCGGACAAGAACGCGCGAAATGACTGGATGCCCGGGCAAGATGTGATGAACGAAGATCAAATCCTCACGAAAATTTTTGAAGTTCATATTCAGATTAGAATTTGTGTCCTCCATAGCAACAAGATAATGCAGGTCGAATGGTAGTGATAATGAAGCTATGGAATACAGATTCAAATTCGAGTTGACTCAGAAATTTTCATTAATGTCTAGATGTATCGAACAAGTGAGAGTTATCTCACCAGTCGGTGGCCTTATTTGTGAATTTCCAATAATCCAATATGGGAATCTAATATGAATCCAATATGGGAATCTAAAAATCCTTTTAGTGTCCGGGAAAAAGTGTGAGCCTAATTCTTGCCTGGTGGTTCACTCCAATATCGCATTTTGGTACCGAACACTGGTAGTTTGTTGAAGATTGGTCGGGCGTAACGGGCTTGTAGTTTTAAAATATTCTTCATGTATTTACCACCGAAATATGGACCAGTTTTCCACAAAAAGTCTTCCCTGGAAGCACCTCCTTAGCATTGCATTTGCCTCGCGTTGCATTACTTATTCCCATCAATCCAATTGTAGAGCCAGTTTCGGTTTCGATTGTGGGTTTTATGTTGAATTTTTGATTAAACATTTCAAATAATGTTTTATACTTTGTTTTACAAATGTACAATAAAAAACTACTACTTTTCTAACTTAGCCAGACATTTTAGAGTTTTCCTTTTTTGCTCTCCGAGAACAGAACTCCCTTTGTAACACGCGACCCCTACTACTTGACATCCTGGCATCTGATTTCGTCTATAAGTCAAGGACCGTTTGTTTCGGCGATGTCACCTCTTGTCGTGAAAGCCTCCTAAACAAATCTGAAATTACTCCTAAAACTAACACATTTCCTCTCAAAAAATGAAACAAGTCTCATTAAATAGTTATGTTCTAATACTTTTTGATTTGCATTGTACCTGTACATAGACTTTTGATAATAGAGGAACAAATGTGAGCGCATCTGAACAAAAAAGCATCGTGTGATGAAGCGACCTGCTCCGGATCACAATCATGAGTTGTGTCATTTGGAAACTCTACTAACCAATATGGGCAGACTTTACATTTTTCCCTAAATTTTCCCCATCCTGCTGATTTCCCCCTAAATTTAGGGGAAAAGCCCAAGGACTATATACTACAAGGATAGCCAGATCCCTATTCTACATTGTTAGCCAGGAATGACAAGTTAGTGACGTCAGCACGAGGCCTGACCTCTCTGTTTACATAGAGCAGGGTGTGCACGTGTTTAGTTTTCGCTTTTAATATTCGTCCAATTTTGTGATTAACGAAGTGATTTATTTNTGGAAATTTTTTGTTCAATAATAAATGTGAATTCTTCTTCCTGGAAAAAAATAAGACATTCCCTGAAAATAAGACCTAGCGCATTTTTCAGAGCAAAAATTAATATAAGACACTGTCTTATTTTCGGGGAAACACGGTATGAGCGAGATAGGAACGTAGCGACAAAGGACGGTATTGTGGAAACAAAGTTTCCCGGTTTTAGTGGTCGATATGTTAGTGATTTTGGCGTTGAGATCGGAGTGATGGCGTTTTAAGTGTTTGTATAACGTCTTTCCGTTGAGTGTTCGGTCTGCAGAGGTATGATGCAAGTATGATTGTTTAAATTGATGTTCCCGGTGGTAAGCCTATACATAATGTCGTCAGGAGTGGGGCGGACATAGTAGACCCAGTAAGTCGAATTTTGTGGTGTCAAAGGAAGTTGGTGATTAATTAATTTAACGGACGCCGCGTCGTCCATGGGGGAATGGTGAGTAGTTTCGTCGTTGTGTTGATTAATGAGATTTGGGTTAGTAGTATTTTTTGGTGTAGGAGTGTCTCGTAGGTAGGTAGGGAGGGTCGCAGTGGCGTGCCGTAACATTTGACGATAGGGAAACTGTGTTTCTGTAAGAAGCCGACTTCCAGGGGCATCAGTTCCAGGCGCGTCAGTGATGGTCTAGGGCAGGCATGGCCAACATACGGCCCGTGTAATGAATTTATGTGGCCTGCGATTAATCTTTCAATATTAGCTACTCAAGTCCAAATAGCTTGATGAAAAATTCTGACGCCTGAAAAAAAAAGTCAACAACTCACTGTGCGTTTAGAGTTAATCTTCCATTACAAATCTTTTAAGCACAGCGTAGAACGTTGATAAAGCATGATAATGTGAAAAATATATCTGTAATCTCTATGTACTGTACAATTTAGTCTCTACGGGGTGACACCACAATGAGATCGCGCACCACGTCAAAATCTTGCTAGGGCAGCCTCAAGGACTATATACTACAAGGATAGCCAGATCCCTATTCTACAACGTTAGCCAGGAATGCCAAGTTAGTGACGTCAGCACGAGGCCTGACCTCTCTGTTTACATAGAGCAGGGTGTGCACGTGTTTAGTTTTCGCTTTTAATATTCGTCCAATTTTGTGATTAACGAAGTGATTTATTTTAATATTTCTGTAATTGTTTTATTTGACTAAGTTTTTTATAAGGTAAGATGATTTAAATATAAGTCATTAAATATTTAAAGCTATATTTTTATGTTAGGTGAAGAACAAAATGC